CGGCGATCCGATGAAATGTTCACATGGAGGGCTCAGAAAGGGACCAATCTTGCGGTCAAGACTGATTTCGCGTTCAAGTTCCTGAGCGATGACCTTTGGGTTTGTTAGTGCAGAGTTGTGGTTAGGTGAAATGTGAGAAGTCCTGGCGCCATTGTAGCCGATACGTACGCCGTGATCGATGTCGTATAATAGTTCGTTGATGAAGGCTTTGTCCAGTGTTTGGTTCTGAATGGTGAGCTAAGCTTTGTTGGAAGGGACCTTGCAATCGGCCATTGCATGGTCCCACCGACAAGCCTTGCAAACGTGGCCTCGCCTGCAGTCTTTTCCCTGATTACAGGCCCGTCGTTGATAGAGGTTGCATCCCTCGGTGTTGTTGTGAAACCATCGTTCGAATTTMCACTGCTCTGCGCCCTTTGTTTCTGCTTTTTTTCTCGTTTTTGTTTTCTTCCACTGCCGTCCTCGCGCGAAAGGGACAATCGCGCACAAGATGGTGTTCGGATCGGCAGCGTTGACATGATGTTGCTTCTCTTCGGACGGTGGACGAGTCGAGGATGGTTGAGTACAGCGTTGTGTCGATTTGGTGGAAAKGTCCGGCTTGTAAACTAGCGAGGCTTAGTCGATACTGAACGTCGAATTCGTAAACTGCTTTCCACTTGAATTTGCGGTTAGCTTTTTGTATTATTGATCGGTAATTGGCAAGTTCCAGATAGAGTAACGGATCGGTTGTTACTAGTTTACRTTCGTAGTTTGWCCACGCMTCGAGCCAATGGTCGAAGGATTCGATGGTTAGGCATTTCCGTTTGGTTGTATCTTCTCCAGTTGAATCAAGGGTTTTAGRGAGGAGTGTCGACAAATCCACATAGCTATAATGAGTGGAAACTTTGTTATCGTTACCTGCACTCGCGCCAGCTTGTGAGTCCGGCATGGGAGTTGGCGGTTCTTGTTGTTCCTGTTGACGAGTGTTGCACAATCCGTCTTGCCTCTGTTAGTGTAGTTGTTCTCGCAGATTCTTTTGATCGATCTGCAGGGTTCCTACTTGTTGCGAGAGGATTCTTATTGCCTGGAGCAATGAAATTCTAAACTCGGTGTACGTGGCTRTATCCTAGCGACCCCCTACCGMTCCACTTCCATTAACCTAAGTTAATACTTAACATCATTTAAACATGGGATCAAATTTGAACCTGTTGCAAGAGAGAAGTATGTTGATGTCATGAAACACTACCTAAAGAGACCAATAACTCTAAGGGAAACTGGAATGGTGATCCCCCCATCAATGTTTTGGCTTGAAGCTAGTCCACATGGTCTTGTGATGGATCTCTGTTCTGCAGTTGATACAATGGGGACAATTGAAATAAAATGTCCAGAGGGGAAGAAAAAACATACACACCACAAGAAGCAATGGAAGATAAGTCATTTTACATTGAATTAYAGAATGGAAAACCTACCCTTAAAAGAGATCACCACTTGGGATACTATACTCAAGTACAACTAACAATGGGTTATTGTGGACTTCCATGGGTTGACTTTATTGTGTATTTCTTTAAGGGGATGATTATTACTAGAGTTCCATTTGATAGTATTTACTTTGACGAGGTAGTTTGTAAAGTAAACAGTTTTTATGTTAAATGGTTTCTACCAGAGTTGATGAGCTGATAAGGTATTTGTATTGCTGTTGCTTTTTTGTTTGTAATATTCAAGTTCTCTTTTGCATAATATATGGATATATCATTTTATCACTTTCAAAACTCATAAATAATTAATGAGTTATTAGACCAATAGAATGAGTCTATTTGGTCACATGCATGGACCTTTATCAGATATAAAGGTCCATGACCCTAGCAAAGGTCTCAGGATCAGTTTGCCCTATTTATCTCATTTTTACGGYAATTTCTCCAAGAACTTTAAAGAATTTGAGTTTCAAATTAAAGTTGGAGTTTTTGAAGCTATTTAAAACACTCCCTCTCGTGTTTTAAACTATACATAAAATACCAATACTCCAAGCATGGAAATCTCTCAATAGAAATAGTGGATGGAAGGGAAAAGAACTGCAGTCAGTTGTTACGGAAGCAAAATGAGAATTGAAGGAGTAGCATGGCCCAATATCTCAATAGTAATATACATGTAATAGATATTATATTATACATGTACTGAGTAATGATGTGAGTAATTGCACGTTCCACATGGATTCTTACTGAGGCAATTTTTTGACTAATGACAACTTCTTCTCGTTCGTTCCCTCCCATCTTCGATAGTAAATCCCCTGTCTGCCATGATTGAATCGTTTTTCTCCCAAAGTCTTGGTTTTAGTATTCCACATCTTTCAACAATTTCTCTATCTGACAGTGACCCTGGGTACAATTGAGAAACAAATGTAATAGCTCCAGAGGGACAGATTCCTATCAAGTGATTTATAAGTGACATAGGCTTGTAGTGTGAATATAGTACACTCTGAGTAACTAAACTTGATGGAACTTGTACAAAAMTTTCAGTGCAATCAATAATACATTTGGTTGTAGCAGGGCCGTAGCCAGGGTGAATGGACAACCGAGGCAAGCGCGACCGCCGATGGCGGGAGAAACTAGGGGGGTCCGGGGGCATTCTCCCCCTAGAAAATTTGAAATTCRGTCTCTCGGAAATGCAAGTTGCAGCGTTTTGTGGGCCTTTTGGTAACTCTTTATTGGACAGATTTAACCGGAATTCATCATGCAATATTTATGAAACAAAGAAGCTACACGTACAAAAATAACATTATTTTTATATTTTTTGCACAAAATCAGTCGTGCGAAATCGGCTCTGAGAGGCTAAGACAATATTAGTGATGAAGAACAAAAAGCATCGGCAAAATTTTACCGAGGCGAGTGCCTCGGTTGGCCTCTTACTAGCTACGGCCCTGGTTGTAGGGTATGTGTCCTTAAAACATTCTKGCATAGATTCATTGATCTKCTGTCTAGATGGCCATATAGGGATACTACCCAAGCAGAAATATAGGTAATTTGACCAAGTGATCAAGTATCTTGACACTGTTGATTTTGCCAAGTTGAAAAACYAGGCTAAATGATTCTGTCCAATACCACACCTTGACCATACTAAAAACATAAATAGTTGCTCAGTGGGATCAGGACCTCCACCAGGCTTGCTACCTTCTTTAAATTTGCATTTATCAGCTTTTGTTCCAGCAGCTTCATAGTATTTCATATTTTGCGCATTTGTGCCAGGATCTGTGAATTGAAAAAGTATTTTGAATTTGTCTGGTTGCAAACTTGTAAATGATTTAAAAACATCCATCTTCTCTCTGAGGTTGTTAGAATTAAACTGATGTTTTCTCAGCTTCTCCACTTCTTCTTTTAGATATATATTTTCGTTTTCCATTTCTTTTTTTTCTGTAACTACAGAAGATAATTCAATTTTCAAAGATTTCAGCTCATTTTTTAAATCAATACAGTTTTTGCAGATCTCCACTGTTGGAGTAACATCAAGGAATGRAAGGTTGTTATCCATGAAATAAGATCGCTCAATTATAGTTTCCTCCTCAACTACAACCCTTTCCTTTGGTGGCTTTCGAGACACAGTTGAAGTTACAYTCCATGAAAATATTGAAGGGACGCATTCTTTGTCTTTAAGTTCCTTTCTACCACTTAGCTTTTTCATAATTTCGCCGGTGCGAAAATGTTGTTCGCATATCTTGAATTGAAAGAAAAAATACAAAATTCTTACACTTTCCTCCGTTAAAACCTCGAAAATAATGAATTGTACATTAAATAGTACGTCAGCTAATGTTTATTTTTTGACTTTTGTATTATCGAGGAAAATTAAAAATGCTGATCATCGGCGTCTTACCTTGGTATGTTTGCTAACGACAAATCCATCACTATATTCTTTGCGCTTAATAGCCAAAAGCCAACGTTTCTTCAGTTTTCCCTCCACGGGAAAATAAAAAAATAAGATACCAGTTTTGATGCCAGATCGATCATAAAAGCCATTCTTACAGCCGGGAACACAACAATATTTGCTCTTACAGCCGAAAACATCTTTTTGTGCTGACTCAGCCATTTTGAATTGTATCCACCCGAGCCTCGATTTGGTGATCAACCGAGARGGACTGTAAAGAGCGCGGGATAGGTCTATTTTTCCTTGACGAGTTTCTTGACAAGGACAAATTGTCCGTGTAAATGGTCAACAAGTTTTCCTTGACAATTCCTGCTTGACAATGTTTATTTGCTCGTGTAAACGAAGAACAAGTTTTCCTTGACAAGGAAAAATTGCCCGTTTGAATGGTCAACAAGTTTTCCTTGACATTTTTTCCTTACCACATTTTCCTTATTATTATTGTTGGCTTTTCCTTGACAAGGAAAAATCGTCAATTTTACCCCATTTTCACGAGCAAAAAATAGAAAAATTACTCGTGTAAACGGCRCTTTAGTGGCCAAGCAACCGCCACCTCAAGCCGTACACTTTGCTCATTACAGCAGCGTTTACTGCTATGCTTTCATGGCCACAAGTTTCAAGGAAGAGACGTGTTTTCCCAAGTGTCTGTCCAGCCTTGTCTATTTTGGAGAAACACAGGGGAAACTATAGGGTCATTTCTGCAACTTGTACAAGGGAATGTATGGTTTGGATGGACAGTGTCCATCCAGTACATACATTTCTTTGTAATTTTTTAAAATTTTGAAGGTCCATTYCTTACACATTATTTAACTATTTAACCAAAAGTAACCAAACTTTGGAATCTTGTTTAATAACTTGTGATGGTCTTTCCAATGATATGATCAATTTTTAATTAGGTTAATTTAGATAAYTAGTACCCAGTCTCCTGCTCGTTTAGGTAAAGGCCAATAGGGTACTCTTTGTATTCACATCGAAAACGGAGTTAAACTGGCGCAGAGAAATATCCCTGGACCCACTTTTATCCTGACCGTTTAATTCGTTATTCCGATTTAAATGATTTTCAGACGCTCAAAAAGAGGACTAATGAAAAATAACTGAGCTGCTTATTCACTAACCTTCATTTTTATTTTGTAAAGTCACAGAATTTGTGGCCGCTTCCAATTTTCTTGTGTTGAACTCTTCATTAGCAGCAATTATTTGATCGTGGACAGTCTCAAACTCTAAGAACAAAAATTATAAAAATTTTACTAGTGGTTAAGATATAAAGAATGAATTATCGTGATATGATCTCTTGATCTGATGTTGCTGAAGACTTGCTGGAAGCCGAATCAAAGGTAGAGAAGGCATACAAGGAGAGATTGGATTCCACACCACCTAAACCACATTTTCATGACAAAATGACCAAACTTCAACGTTTTGGAAACGTTTCGAAAATTCTCCAAACAAATGAAAGTTGCAGCTGGAAAAAGCAAGGAAATTATCATCAAGACAGACATAGAGGATATTACATGGGCGCGCGGAGATAAAGAGGATATTACATGGGTGCGTGGAGATACGGATTTTATCTTCGAGTGTTGAAAAGATCTCTCACGAGTGAGCGTAGCGTACGAGTGAGAGATTTTCAACACGAGAAGATAAAATAAATTCGTATCTCAAAGCGACCATGTAATATTCTGTTTATCATATAATTAAATATGAAAGCAAATTATGTCGGAAAATATCTATTTTCTTACTTCCACTATATAGAGAAACCTCGAATGTGTTATTTTCACTAGTGAAAATAACATGTTATTTTCACTAGTGAAAATATCAATTTTACGTAATGGAGAAATATAGGTATTTCATAGATAATTATATGATAAAGAGCTTTGTTTGCACAGATGTTAATCTGTCATTGCTGAGAACCGTAAACTTGACACGAGAGAAGTCCTGTGCCAACCACTTTGGCCACTATCATGGTCTCTTGCATGCGACTGCAGTTGGCTCTCTCCGAAAATAAAATAAGGCATCTTTGCGAAATGAGCTTACGAATAATGAGAAAAGGGGCTCCGCACGAGTTCAAGAATTTTAAATAAGACCACAAAATCTACCAATGGCACACGTATCTTGCCAGTCCCTCCAATAAAACTCAACTTATCGAGTCTTTATCAGAAGAATGGAAAAAGGAAAAGTACAAAGATAAGCTGACTGTGATTAGTTCTGAAGATACCGATGTATTTGTTCTGTTTTTTAGCCTTCAGTAATTTAATTGCATGCCAATYATACGTGAAGTGTGGAAAGTAGACTCGAACAATGTACATTATTATATGTACTTGCTAGGATTCTAGGATAACAGGTTTGCAAGTTACTTATTGGTCTTCATTCACCTATTATTCACTTATTATTCACCGTTATACTGTCAGCTCTTTCGCTGGAAAAGGGAAGCTTGGTGCTTTGAAACTACGCAAGAAAAACAAACTGTACCAGTACACATTTCTACAAATTGGAATGGAATGGGATCTTCCAGATGAGTTATTTTCTAAGATAGAAGAATTTATGTGTAAGCTGTACAGTTCAATTTTTGGTACCAGTAGCATCAATGAACTCCGTTACCAGTTATTACATGGGCTTCCAAAGGAAGACCATGTCTTAAATTACCGACGTTTTTCGTCTGTGGTATGCTNTTAACTCTTGGTTTAATCTTCAACACTGGTAGCTAGCATTCGCTAGGTGGTCTCTAAGTTTACAATATATTGTAGCTCTATTTATATTATTACAACTCTTTTGTTTATAGGTCATATTACATAATTGATCGCTAGAACTATCACGCGTAAAACTCAAAAAACAATCACTTTGATAATAGCAAAAATGTCATAAGATGAGGTAACATACGGAGGAGATTATTGGCTGTAACTAGAAAGTTAAGTTAAGCGTACAACTGGTACAAGTAACTTTTCATTCAAGTAACTTCGATTCCTGGCTTTAACGCTTGTTTCTAGGTAGTTAACGCTGAGATCAGCGATCCCTACTATCGTGACTAAAATAGTGAATTATAGATTACTTGCAACAGGTGTCGTTTAGAAAAACTCTAACTTAACCTGCTAGGTAACTGTTGTAACAGAATGTTTTGCCAATTTTCTACTATTGCCAATTTGTGTAATAAATAACTGATTTGTTTCCTTAAACAATTTTGATGAATTTTCTCCCGTTACATAAGTTTTATTGGTCGTTGTATTTTCATTTCACAGTTGAATTCTTAGAAACAAAACTTCTTTTTCCCACAGGATTAGAATTGGGTGGTAACGTACATAGCAACGYATTGGCCGATTTGGTCTATCTTTGCATAAAATGTATAAGGTAAAGTACCCWTATTACAAGTCTAAAACGTACAGAATAAACGACAAATTTAGTGAAAATAACTTTCGTTCAAGGAAAAGAAAGAAAAAAGTATATATGTTCCATTTCCAGRTTCGAACCTGCGATCTCCAGTTCGACAACGCTGTTCGAGTATCATCTTCTCATAAATATTAGGCTCCTAAATATTAATAAGACAAACTGCTACGATAAAAATCTAAAATGACTAGAACACCTATATTCTAGTCAAAAAAAGAGAGAAAGAATATGTAACGGCCGGGTTTTGCACATCAGTTCGTATTATGGCTTAAACATGAAACCAACCACACAGCACGAGCGTCGTGACAGAACTAAATTTATTGCAAAACATGCACAAAATCACACGTACAGCCCGTTCCCAAATAAGGTCATGACGACTATACAAGGAAACACACAGGCTACCCAAAATAAATGAATCAGTAATACACAAAATAAATATGAAATTAAA